AGGAGATTTTAACACCCTCTCTCAAAAACTGGCAGAACTGCTAAATAAAACATCAGTAAAGACACAATATCTGAACAACAGTGATATTTATATCGATAGATCAAACGTTATACTGCAGAATTCACATTCTTTACAAGTGTACATAGTACATTCAGCAAGATAGGTCATATCTTATGGGCCATAAGCAAATTTCAGTACATTTAAAAGGACTAAAATCGGGCTTCCCTGGTGGCGCAGTGGTTGAGAGTCCGCCTGCCAATGCAGGGGACACGGGTTCGTGCCCCAGTCCGGGAAGATCCCAGCTAGGCCCGTGAGCCATGGCCACTGAGCCTGCGCGTCTGGAGCCTGTGCTCCGCAACGGGAGAGGCCACAGCAGTGAGAGGCCCGCATACTGGGAAAAAAAAAAAAAAGAAAAGAAAAACGTATCTAACTTAATGATAATGAAAGCAACATATAATTGATGGGATGCACCTGCAACAGTGCTTGCAGGATAATTTATAGCTTTAAATGCTTGTATTAGAAACAAAAAGAGGTCAAAATCAATGACTGGGAGAGAGTCTTAGCTACACACACACTGTTAGCTGGGCTTGAGGCCTTGTGCCCTCACACAGGAGAATGGAGGTCCGGCCGAAAGTGAAAACTGAGGCAGACTGTGAACTGCTTGAAGGTTGGATGCTGAATGTTCCCCAACCTCATTGGCAAAGGGTAAGAGCCTTACTGGCTCCAGGTGTTCAAGCACAACACCTGACCAATCACAGGCTGACTGCTAAACTATAGGAAGCCAGGCTCAAAAAATTTTAGAGACTTAAAAAAAAAAAAGCACATAACATTCTACCTCAAGAAACTGGAAAAGAAGAGCAAAGTTAAACCCAAAGCCAGTTAAAAAAAAAAAAAAGAAGAAGAAAACAAAAAAGCAGAAACCAACAAAACAGACACCAGCAAACAACAGAGAAAAACGAAGTAAGCCAAAAGCTGGTTCTTTGAAAAGAGCAACAAAATCAGGAACCCCTAGCTAGAGTGATTGAAGAAAAATGAGAACACAAATCAATCCCACGAATGAAAAACAGTTATCACTACAGATTTGGTAAAGATTAAAAGGCTAACAAAAAGCACAGGTAAAGTTTAAAGTTATAAGCAGCCTTTTTAGCAAATCCAGTACCGAATAATCGCCTCAAAAGTCGTATAACAACTCTAATATTTATCTGTTCAGCACAATCAAAAGCTACGCTTTTAAAAGGATGATTTTATATAAGCACACTCATACTGTGGACTGAAGTGAAGCTGTGAAGCCAAGTACCTCCCCCCATCCCAACAAATCATCCTGAACAAGCTCCTAAGGCAGTATATCGGGAATTTCTGTAACTCCCTGAACTGGGGCTGGCTTTACAAAATAACCAATAGGTTTTTACCTCTAGTAAATTGCCTTCATCAATTTTTGCTTTTTAAAATTTTCCTGTAGTATTCATGGTGTACTCTAATCTCCGGTTTTTCAAAACAAATGAAAAGGTTATTTTCCTCAAGCTATTTCTATAAAACTTACAAGCAGAGAGATAATGCCTTATAATATATCTAAGGACACTCAAGACAATGTCTAACTGTTGAGAGTATGACTAGGAAGGGCTAATACACTTGAAATATTTTGAGCTCTTTTCCCCATTTAACAAAACTATATTAGATATATAAAAATCCTAAATGTGTCTGAGGTATTCAGATGTGACCATTACAGGTGATTTCTTATTCGATTACTCTGAGAAAAATTCTGAAACGGTGAGGCTAAGTGATCTCCTCCATGGCATCAAGTCCCACACTGGCCACGTGCTGTCTTCCCTGAAAAGCCAGAGGGGAAGAATATGAAAATATGGCTTGGATGGGTTTTCACTATCTGAACCCCAAAGCAACCAGGGACTCTTTTATCTTCACAGCAGCAGCAAACAAAACGCAACAGCAATCGAACTAAATGGCACTCAGTAAAAGAGTTTTAATAATTTCAATAGACCTGAAAAAGTTTTCATATTCATGAAAATGGCTTTAAAGAAATCTTGATTAGACTTAGCACTACCAAAAGAAAAAGGCATGTGTCAGTTAAAAAGCAACTCCGTAAGTGTAAATCAAAAATAGTTTGTAACCGAGCCAAAGAAGCCATTACAAGCTGCTATATAAATAGGCATTTAATGATTTTTCCAACATTACGTTATTGATCTAACAAGCCCTCTGTTTCCGCTGAAATGAATAAGTAATTTGTTTAAGATAACATTAATAGGATTTGTGGCACATTAGATACCCTGGGTCTCTCTCATTGGTAAAATTACCACTGTAAAAAACAAATTTTACATTGTTTTTCAGGGAAACATCTGCATAATTTCAGAAATCACAGCAAAAGGTGAGAGACATGAGATACAACCATCAGGCGCAAAACGGCATTTCTAAGTCATAACACCTTGAATGTCATTTATCCAGCTCAACAACTATTTAACATACACTTACTAACATCAGACATTACGACTCTAAGCACTGAAAACACGACGGCAAACAAGAGATATGGTCCCTGCTCTCAGTCTATCTGGGAAGACAACCAAGCAAGGTATATTAAGAAAGGATACCAGGCTAGCACAGAGAACAGGGTCTGATCCCCCGCAAAGGGAGCCAGAGAAAACATCTGAAGACACGGTTGTTTAGGCTGAGACGAGGAGGCAAGTAAGACGAAGCCAAGCCCTGGGGGTGGGGGATGGTTGAGTAAAAGATGGCTGCTGGCAAAGAAACTGCGGTCCGTAGGCACAGTACGTGCACCGCCAGGGATTTATGTTAAGAGTTGTCATTTGTGTCAGAAAAGAGACTATCATGGAAAATTAGACTTTACTCGTACAGCCGCATGTATCAAAAGACAACAGTCATCTAACTTCTTAACCTAGGAGGAAAAAAGGTAAGAAGGTCACAGTTTCATCTTGGCCTACTCCCCACATCGCCCGTTCACACACACATCTACTCAGGCCACGGCATGTGCCAGGCACGAGAGGAGGATCCAACAGAGAATAAGATGGGCAAACAAGCAAATCAGAGGACTTCTGTGCCTACATGATTCTGAATTGTAGCTCCCTGATTTCAGGTATCACTGAATAAAATATTGAGCTTAAAAGCTACTGTACTATTGAAAGACACTTTCATTAATAAGTAAGGGAGTAATCATTATTGCACGTCAAATATGGTGTAACAGGAACAATAAAAGAAGCTCTGACACCTCACACACATAAACAAGGAATTATGCTTGTATTTTCAGCTAAGCACTACTCACTAGTGTCTTACAAATTTCTGATTTACACACACTCATGTTTACTGTTCATAGCAAGGGAGGCCAAGCAAGTATTTCAATAATTACTACCGATTGTCAAGCACTGCTGGTGGAGTGCCAGGCTCTTTGCTGGGAACTTAACATCCATGATCTCATTTCACAAAGGAACTAACTACCATCATCTGCGTCCCTCAAACGAGGAACCCGAGGCCTAGAGAGTTCATGTAACATATGCCCAGAAACGCGTGGCTGACAGGTGGTGGAGGCAGGTTACTACTCCCCGTGTTAGCGTGGCTTCAAAGCCTACCATCCCCTTCTCTCCCTCTGCATGGCTCCTGAGACTGACCAGCAAGGAAGCTGAAGTGTGACACTGAGTGAGCAGGTGAGGCGTGACGAGATTTCGGGTGGGGAGTTAACATTCAGTGTTCTCTCATCTACACCGAAGTCTCACTACAGTCTTAACCTCAGGGTCCCTGCCCCCCACTAACAATTCTCTAATAATTCAATCCCTTTGGATTCCAGGTAAACTGTCTTTCTAAGGATTGTGGGGGGATGGGTCATAGAAATAAGCAAATATTAAAAAACATTTAACTAGCAATATCATTCACACCCTGGATCCAACATTTTTCCTGGCATCATGAGCTCCTGAAGTACATTTCACATTGAAATCTACTGCTAAATAACCATAATAAAAGTTCATAGTGATGCCAAGCTTTATAAACATAATCATGTCATGCAGTCCTCATAATAACCCTAAAAAATCCATAACATCATCCTCAGTTTATAGAGATAAGCAGAAGCTTATCAGGGTTAAATACGTGTCCAAGGTCACACAACCAAAGGTAGTGTAGTAATATGACTCCAGAGCCTAAACTTTTCATTTCTATAACATAGCATATATTCCTGCAACGGTTATATAATTCTTTTTAAATACCAAAAATACTCTGACCTGAATTTGTGTATTTATAGAAATTTTCATATAATTGCTCATATAGCTACATTATCAGAGTTATACAGTTTTAGTCTGTGGCACTTCATTTAATAAAAAGAAAAATTACATTATTAAGCACCAGGGAACTTGAAATCTGTCTGAAGAAGCAGCTTAACAATATATATTTTCTTCAATATTTAACTCAATAGCTTTTCATCCTATGAAAATAGACTGTTTTGTGATGGTTAATATCAAAATCATTTAGGGTCCAACAGTAAGAGAGGTAGCATTCCACCTTTTTACAATCCTAATTTAGAAGCAAATAAAATATCTTTCAGTTTATTTGTTCGTAAAACAAGTATGTGACACAAGTTTAATGGAATAAATAAACCACAAAAAATTATAAATAAATGGGAAAAGTACAGAGGCAAACAAGTCAATACAGGGATCACCTTTTTGTGTCTGTCCCCTATTCCTCTCAATTTGCTATTTCTAACCCTCAAATAGTAAACATACGAATCATTTCAGAAAAAGGGCAATGGGAAAGGAATAGAAAAGTAAAAAGTATATGATATAGTATATCTAAGGAATCAATACATTTGTCTTATTTTCTCATCTACACATGATACTTACTAATTGTTTCCTTTATTTTAGAGACAAGCTCAAAACAAACCGGGCAGCAACGCTTGTGAATCAGCTGACTGAACCCACAGCATTTAGACTGGGAAGTGGGCAAGCTCCCACTTTTCATTAATACACAAAACAAAGGTCCAAAAGACTTACCAATTGGTACTTGTTCAGGTTGGCTGAGAGAAACAAATGCTGATGTGTCATTGATCCAGGATATCTGAATGTTACCTGTAACAGTGAATTAAAAGTAAGCATTTAACCATTTAGATAGCTATCAGATTCCATTTGTACATCTGATGTATTTCAGAATATCCATCAATTTAAAGAGAGATGAGGTGCTAGTTTAAAATTTGATCAAAATCTCAGCACTACAGAGAACTAAAACTTAAATCTACCACTGCAGCTATTTCAGTTAAAACTTCAAGAAAGGGGCTTCCCTGGTGGCTCAGTGATTAAGAATCCACCTGCCAGCGCAGGGGACACGGGTTTGAGCCCTGGTCTGGGAAGATCCCACATGTCGCAGAGCAACTAAGCCCATGTGCCACAACTACTGAGCCCATGTGCCACACTACTGAAGCCCATGCACCTAGAGCCCGTGCTCCACAACAAAGAGAAGCCACCACAATGAGAAGCCCGCACACCACAATGAAGAGTAGCCCCTGCTCACCGCAACTGGAGAAAGCCTGCACACAGCAACGAAGACCCAACGCAGCCAAAAATAAATAAAAAAAAAAACTTCAAGAAAACGACAAACCAGGAAAAAAGAAGCAGTTTTAAAAATTGTTTTAAAAACAAAAGAAAAATTCTTCTGGATTAAATCCTGAGGCAGTTTATCGTTCAACCCAATCTCATGCCAGGGCTGGAGACTTTTTTCCAATCAAGATCACTAATAGGGAGTTCCCTGGTGGTCTAGTGGTTAGGATTTGGCACTTTCACTGCCGTGGCCTGGGTTCAATTCTCGGTCAGAGAACTGAGATCCCGCAAGCCGTGCAGTCAGGCCAAAATAGAAAAACAAACAAAAACTAATGAAGACCTAAATAAATGAAGGAATATACCACGTTCATGTACTAAAAGACTCAAAATCCATGAACCTGGTATATTAAAAAAAAAAAGATCACTAATAAAAATCAGAGACCACGTATGCTAAAAAAAAAAAAAGCACAACTATTTCTTTTTAGAGATTCAAACTCTGAAAATTATGAACAGGGAACATGAAATGAATCAATGTAGCAAGAAATAAGAAAAATTCAATGATGATCTCAAGGTCAGGTAAAGAAAACAGGTAGGGGATGGAGGATGAGATAAAGAAGGCGTCGGAGAGAGGAAACCAAGACAGACTAATAGAGAAAAGAAAAACACTGAGGGACAGAAAGCAGTATAGTGGAACAAAATGATTTTCACATACAGAGACAAGTTCTCAATAAGGGTGAAATGCGGGACTTCCCTGGTGGTCCAGTGGTTAAGAATCTGCCTTCTAATGCAGGAGACATGGGTTCGATCCCTGGTCAGGGAACTAAGATCCCACATGCCGCAGGGCAACTGAGCCTGCACACAGCAACTACTGAGCCCGCAAGCCACAACTACAGAGCCCATGCACTCTGAAGCCCGCGCGCCACACTAGAGAGAAGCCCACGCTGCAACAAAGAGCCTGCATGAAAGATCCCACATGCCACAACTAAGACCCGATGCAGCCAAAAATTTTTTTAAAAAAAATATTAAAAAAAACAATGTGTGCCACTAATTAACCAAAAAAAAAAAAAAGCGAAACACAAACAGAATGGAATGCAGGAGACCTGAAGAGAGGCAGGAGAGGAGCAGTGGGGCGGGGAGCTTGAGAAAACCAAGGGAAAGCAGAGATCTATCAGCTACCACTCTTCCTAAAAAAATACAGAAAACTGGAATTTTTAAAAATAGGTAAACATCACCAGAACTTAGCAATGAAAAAAATCTTTTAATATCTACTAAAATTTTCAAAGGCTAGGAATACTTGAAAACTGCTTTGTTTCTCCACCACAGGAAAAAACTCACTTCCTGCTGCACAGTGGGTGCCAGGACTTTCTCAATTATAAAATTTACTCGCTATTATTTCCTTACCTCTCTACCCTGTAGGTTTTTTAGATAAATAATAATATTTAACATTTCATAAGTAGTTACTATATGCCATATACTATTCTGAATGCCTTCCATGGATCAACTCATTTAATCTTCATGACATGCCTATGAAGTAGGCAGTATCATCATCACCATCATCATCTCCGAGAAGGAAACACAGATACAGAGAGGTTACCTGTTCAATATCACACAGCTCATCTTTTTTTAATTAAAATGAAAAAAATTCTACTCAGAGCATTCTGCTTAATTTAGCTAATTAAAGTTTGACTAAATCGGGGTAAAAGCAATACAGAATGGGAAACAACATAAAAAGCTTTACAAAGAAATGAGCTGTGAAATTCAACTGCATTTCTGTACCTGCATTTAAATTAAAAAGCAGGACTAGGGGCTTCCCTGGTGGCACAGTGGCTAAGAATCTACCTGTCAATGCAGGGGACACGGGTTCGAGCCCTGGTCTGGGAAGATCCCACATGCTGCGGGGCAACTAAGCCCGTGTGCCACAACTACTGAAGCCCGCGTGCCTAGAGCCCGTGCTCTGCAACAAGAGAAGCCACCACAATGAGAAGCCCGCGCACCACAACGAAGACCCAACTCAGCCAAAAAAAAAAAAAGCAGGGCTAGAATTTCAGAAGTCATTTAGACTATCTGCAAAGATTAGGATAACTTTCCAGAAATATACCTACGTTCACTTACTTCCCTGAAAATTAAGTGTGTAACGTTTTGTACTTATAAAAGCTAATATATGCTTATTTTAGGAAATACAGAAAAGCATAAACAGGAAGAAAACAATCCTATCTGAAACATTCAGTGATAAGAGCATGATGCTTCCTTTCAGTTTGATTTCTACACAGTTTAAAAAAAAATGTTAGTTATACAGGAATCCTACTTTATATCTGCTTTTTACTATAAATGTTAAAATATAAACACTTTACCATCTTTTAACAAACTCTTCAACTCTTTTTAAAATGGCTACATACTAGTCTGTTGGGGAGACACATAAACATTCACTGAACATTCTTATTATTGGACATTTAGGTTTTTGCTGCCTCCACTTTATTCACGAATTTCCAAAGACGATAGCTTAAATACTTTGTTAAAATAAAGAGACATTGCTGAAGACTTACAATCAGAATGGTCTTTATAAACCCTAATCAGAAGACTGTTCAATTTAAGCTAATTGCCTGACCTGATAAAAAGGTAACAGAAGAACCGCCTTACCTCATACATATCACGTATCTTGGTCCTCTCAAACATCTGTGCTTGTCTGCTTGGACTATTCGATGTCAAGCAGCAACTGCCTGACCTTATGAAACAGACATTCTCTCTGAATTTAATCTTAAAAACAATTTATCCTTAGCCCAGACTTATTTCCCATGGTTGGCAGTAAGGGGCAGTCATAGTAACTGTATCTTGCTTTCCATGGATTAATAACAGCACTCTATTGTGGGATGCTAGCGAAAGTTCCTCAGATCACATTAGCACAAAGACAGCAGCATACCAAACTCCAGAAATTCCATGAGTGAGATTACAACCTTGCATATTAATCCTTGTTTGTGCCCAAGCTAAAGCCATCTGTATACCTTTGACTATCTAGACCAAAAGAGGAGCAGGATCCTAGAAGTATAGCTGTACTTGTGCTTTACTTACCAAAGGCACTGAAAAGCTGGTAAAGGTCACTGGTTTTCCATTCTTTGGGGAATGTCACATGGAGGACGTGATCACGTTTAGGCTGCACTACAAGACAAATTTTTGATGAAAGGTTAATAGCTGAAAAGTGGACAACAGACCAGTGGTTCTTTGACGAAGCTAAGCCCTGGCTAACTTGGGGAATCGTTATGAATGCCTCATGATTACCAAATGACCCCTGAAAGCATTCTTGGGATTGACTGGAAGGACACTGCCATCTGAGCTTAGGCCTCACGCTCTGATACTTTACAGAACCCACAACAATTTGAACCTTAGCAACTCTATGCAGAAACATCTTTGCTCATAAAGTTCCTGGGAAAATTATTTAAAGAAAAAAAGAAAAAGACTGCTCTGTTCAAGAAGTTTCACTAAACATTTAACTTTCTCCTTTTAATCTAGTTGTCCATATGTTTATTTAGTTAAAATAATAATAATAATAATGCAGTGTCCAAGTTAAATGGACTGTGTTTGAGCAGAGGCAGTCCTGAGTCACAATCTTGTTTTCTAATCCCAGACCCACCACTTAACTGTGCAACTCTAAGCAAGAGACCTAACCACTCCAGCCACGCATGGTTATAAATTGGGGATGACGATATTCAGCTCATAGAATTGCTGTGAGAATGACAGATTTAAACGCAAGTCTAATATGGAGTGCAACACAGTATGTACTCAAACTATTATTACAATGATTATTATCATCAAGTATAAAGTGTAGTTCACCCATTTCTCTATGCCTATCGGCATATATTAAGGCAAATAAACCAGGCTAGGAAAACAGCAACGGAAAAGAATAAGCTGAAGAAGCAACCACCTCCCAAACAGACTGGCTTTCTGAGGTTTTCAATGAAAAAAAAAATTAAAAAATCCACCCATTAAACTTAAATATATACATACTCAAATAATTGGAAAATAGAAAATGTACTGTTATTGACATGGCTAGCACATCTTAAAATCTATTACATATATATTTATAAAAAATTATGAATTTAGAGTTCTGAGTGAAAATGAAGTAATGATGAGAAGACATATTTTTTTTAAATTCCACTCATGTATAAACTGGAAAATGTAAGTAAAGAGATGAGTTAATCAAGGCCCAAGGGTAACATTAACTTAAGCATACTATTCATATCAACCACAAAATCACTGGCTATTTTTAAGTGAATAAAGCTCTTTCTTCAGTAATACTTTTCCTGTTATCCCTTCCAGACCACACACTTAAATATGCAGATGTAACGAGAAAATAAAAATTCACTTACAGTCTGGTCCTTCCAAGTTTAGATAGGGGATATCCATGACTCTCATGAGAAATAGCCTACCAAAAGAAAAGAAAAACGGATAATGGACTAACTTCTATTAAAAAAAGACTGATATAGGCATGTTTATTTAGCTAAAAAAAAATAAAGATATAGGCATCTATTAAATTCTTTTGCAGAAGCTTCTTAATTATATTACCCTATTTCTAAAATCATTTTAAAGGGTCTTAAGATTCACTTCACATTTTTCTCTAGGGCTAAATATTTATCACAAATAGAAGAAAAAAACTGGTACCCCCAACACCTACAACAGCTCCTGGCACTCAGGAGCTACTCAATAAGTATTAGCTAAATGAAAAAAATTAGTAATCAAAGAGTCAAAGAGCTGCCTTGTTGGTCCAGAGAAACTGAGAGAAAACAAGTACTACAGAGTGCTAACCATCTTAACCTATGAACAACTGTTCCCACACCTGTAAAGGTAATCCCTATGGATTGGTGTTTTGTGAGCTAAAAACGTGTCACTGATGTCTTTTTTTTTTTTTTTTTTAACTGAATGCAGTCATTGGATGAATACTAATCTTACTGGGTGAACTGCACGGTCTTAAATAAGTGACCGTCTCAAAAGCTCATGTCATTACTGCCATTTAAAACATATTAAGAGCGCAAAGCAAAATAATCCTTGCTTAAAAAAAAAAAACCTATCACACGGATATAAACCATAGCAATCATTTATGTATACTTCCAAAATGGATACAAAGGCACTTTTAAAAGAGTACTTCTAAGTTACAGCTCTCTGTAATGCCATTCAATTTGCTTTTATTTGCATGATTATGGACAAGATATCAGGCAATTCTGTTTGTAAGATGATTTTAATGAGCTTTATTTAGATAACATATTGTGCATTTCTGGTAGGGACCGCATTATACAGCAAATTAAAAAGGCAATCCAAGTGCCCAACAAGCAATTAGTTTGGCTTCACTGACCCGCAATTAAGGCACATTTTTACCAGGCATTCAAAAGCCAGGCAGGGCATGATCTGGTTTACAAATGGAACCATCAGCATGAATACCACTGTTCTGTTAATGCCAGAAAAAATGAAGTCCTGGTACTCTGTGGTTTGAGAACTTGTTGCCTAGCCTACAATTTAATAAACCAAATCCTATGGCTAAGAAACCAAATTTATTTTTAGTTCACTAATTTAGTCTCAAGCGTACAATTCTGGTTCTGGTAGCTGGCTTACCCAATTTAATGAATACTGTCTGCAATGCCAGAAGACAATGAGACATATAAAGCACCTAGCACATAGTAGGTTCCCCTCGAAAGTAACTGTTATTACTACTGACAACCAGAACCTGAAAAGTTAGTCCTCAGTTATAAGGTTATTTTTATGCTTCACATAATTTTCAATTCTCCATCTAGTAAATTTAGAGATGGCTCCCAGCTTTAAAAACCACATCAAGAAAACTTTCAGTGAAAGTTAAAGGAACATATAAAAGTCAAGCATCATAAAAACAATTTAAAACGTGTACCCAAATTTCAACAGAAGAATAAAAGCTGAATCACCAAGATGTTCACTGCTATACCATCAAATGCACCAATAATCAAAATCAACCTCCAGGTTCAATTTATGTGGGGGTTGGTAAATGACAGTTCATCATTTCAACAGAATATTAAACGATCAAAATTAACTTCAAGATAATTTTCAAAAACTTCAAAACATCAATAACTTGTGGTACAATTTTAATTTTTAAAAAAGCACGAAATTTTATACTATTTTGACAGCTTTGTAAAACACCGATGTCATTAAACCAAAAATAAAAACTACTGCCCACCCCCTGCCCCGAAAAAAAGCCAATCGTTTTGGGAAACTTTGTTTTTAAAAATTCCTTTTACTATTATTTTTTAAACTTAAAAAAGAAAATAGAGGGACTTCCCTGGTGGCGCAGTGGTTAAGAGTCGGCCTGCCAATGCAGGGGACATGGGTTCGATCCCTGGTCCGGGAAGACCCCACACGCCGCGGAGCAACTAAGCCCGTGCGCCTCAACTACTGAGACTGCGCTCTAGAGCCCGCGAGCCACAACTACTGAGCCCGCGTGCTGCAACTACTGAAGCCCGCATGCCTAGAACCTGTGCTCCGCAACAATAGAAGCCACTGCGAGGAGAAGCCCACGCACCGCAACGAAGAGCAGCCCCCGCTCGCCGCAGCTAGAGAAAAGCCCGCGCGCAGCAACGAAGACCCAGCGCAGCCAAAAAAAGAAAAGAAAATAGAATAAGCAACAAGGTCCTACTGTATAGCACAGGGAACTATATTCAATATCCTGTGATAAACCGTAATGGAAAAGAAAATGAAAAAGAATGTATGTATATATAACCGAGTCACTCTGCTGTAGAGCAGTAATTAACACATTGTAATTCAACTATACTTCAATAAAAAATAAATTTAAAAAAAAAAAGAAAGAAAGAAAATAGAGGCTACCAGAACCAAGAGGCCCAGGGGAAATAACCAGAGATTTTCTTAGAGAAAGTCCAATTGAAAATGCTAGTAGAATCAATCTTGTGTACCCTATGCACTACTTCACCTGCTGTGGGGGAGACGAATACAAAGTGAAATCACAAGGTTGAGTCTGCAATTGCTTTATTTCTTTTTAAAATATTGTTTTCCTCCTAAGATCACGTGGCCTCAACGAGTTTAGAAAACCTACTGTCCTATAAATACAAACAAGGATGACAGTTAAAAAGCAGACTTTCCCAATTCTCTCACCATGCAAATATTTTAAAAAGAATTTTTTTAAGATATCTTTTGTCGAGCATTATACTGGCTATTTGTTCTCTAATATTTCATCTGGATTTTAAGTATCATTTCTGCTTAAACTAAGTAAAATTTTATTCTCAGTGAAAACACTCAAAAAGATTTTTTCAAGTTAGTTAATCCTACACTACCTTGTTTGCTTACTCAATACTTTAACTAAATAGAAACCCCTTTCAAATTTCAGATGAATTATATTAATAGCCCTTCTCACTCATTCCCTACGCCTCCACCTTCATGCCTGGGCTTTAGAGAGAAGTGAATCGCCCCAAATCCTGGAAGAACACGAAAACCAATTCTGTATGTGACTTGGCAGACTGCACCCCATACAATTGGGAAACCAATTCTAAAACTGTAGCTGAGCGTCTGTGGAACAGAACCAAAGTAAACTCGCCAGGGCCTCCCTGCCCCCATAGGTCAGACGGTTTGCAAGCCACTGCTCTGGTAGCACCCCTGCCCTCTTGATGGAAAATTAAAACATTTCATTGCATGCATGCCTCATACAAACTGGCTGTCAAAAGGCCTACACTGACTCCCTAGAGTGATTCGATAAAATACCTCAAGTGTAGATCATCTGACTGGACAGTTTTCATTTTAACATATGAGGAAATGCACTAGGCAAGCAGAAATGCTGATAAAACACATGAAAGGATGTTCCTTCCCTGTGATTGTATTGAAGAACAGTCTCTTCCAAGAGGCCTTTCATCTGCAGATATCAAAAACACATTCGGACCAAGGCTTGCATGAAACGTTATTTCTATCTCAGTGATGATTCAAGACGGCTGTAATTTGGTAAAGACACTCAAGGCTGTGTGGGGCCCTTGCCACGTTCCTGCAAGCTTCCTGGTGAAACATTATTTTAGCACTTATTCTCCAAAGGACTGACACGAACTCTGTCAAAGACTAAAATTAAAATCCCCATTTGATACAAGGGCCAATTTTACACCAGGATTCTATCCTGGTAAACTACATGACTCAAGTTCATATTCTAGATGCTATGACACAAATTTTACTCTTTTTGGCATTTGTCAGTTTGTTAATGTTCTATGATAATACTGGTAATGCTGTTTATCTCGGCTTTCAAACATGTCTAGAAAGATCCAAGGGTAGAACACAACATACTCGGGGTCATTCACTCAGCAGGCTGGATGAATTCAGCTCAGCCAATTTAATAGGCTACACAGAATAGGCTGTGTACAATGGCTTTATGTCCCAAACAGCTACCCACCTCTGCTGCCCATATGCTGCATGGCACTCATGAAAAGCCATCTGCTAACATTCTTTTCTGACCAGAGCGATATGACACTGTGACCTAGACTGTGTAAGAAGGCCCGTAGTCACAGAATTTCATTTCAGACATAAAGCTCCTTAAGAGTCTAGAACCTTGAGCACTTATCAAAATGTGCTTCCCTAGTCCCCAGATCGGCATCTGGACAGAAATGTAAATTCCTAGGCCCCACCTAAGCCCTACTGATTCAGAATCTGGGAACTGAAATCACTGGGTTCACAGCAAAAGAGTATGTTCAAGGCTGTGTTAATTGCCATTCATGATGATTCAATGGTCAGCTGGATAATAATGACTTGTGTCAACTTGTCCAAAAAAGTATTAGTCTTAATGATTTGTTTACAGTAAATCATTTTGCTTAGAAAAACACAAAACGATTACAACAAACACCAAGGACTACCTCGAAATCCAGGAAGCAATAACATAAGGCTTCCATCACTCCCGGAAACCAGGAGCTGAACTGTGGCATGCAACTAGGTTCTCTGCAAGAGATAAATTGGGGAAAATTATTGCTGACAGCTGTTTTTCTCATTTTTAAGAAGAAAGTAAAAAAAAGATTACTTAAACTACTCTCTTGGCAACTCACTGGCAAAAGTCCAACCCTTTCTGTGACTTGGCCACAAATCAGCACCTCCAGCATCACCAACTTTAACCACTAAAGCAGCACCCAAGGCTGGCCAACATTGGGAGGAAGAACACTCACATACATACAAAGAATCAGATGTCTTCAACCTTATCAAAATTCTCCGACCTTACCAACAAGTTTCAGAGCCAGATTCTGGCAACCACAAAACACACTGAGCAGCTCAGAAGAAGTACACTAAGATCAAACGTTATTCTTTGATGACACAATAGCTTGCCTTGGACTATGGCTTATCTGAACCATTCCCTAGTTGTCCAGTGAATAAAAAAGGATTGCAAAACAGTGCCAGTATTAACCCATTTTATGCAGCTGTGCTCAAGAAAGC